GGTTGGGTAGAATAATAATTCAGAAAGAAGAAATTGATTGACAGTAAAAAAGAGGAGTGAGGGAAGGAATAGTTGAATAAGTAAGATTCAGAATCAACGACAACAAAGAAGGATGAAAAGCATTCTCCAGAGAACGACGACAGGGGAGAACCCAGGATCGCGCCACTGTAGAGAAGGTGGGAGTATTGTAGGCAGGCAACTCTTTTTTCTCTTAGAGCCCCGAAAGGACAGCATTTTTAAATAAGGGGGAACACATTATCCTGGGGCAAATTACTTTCCCTGACGTGACTAAGAGAGGGGAGTTCATAGGAAGGTGCCCTTTCCTGAAGGCCGAAGAATTAGGATGGACTAACGAAGCAGAAGCCAAAAGATCATCGAGTCGGAAGCAGAACAAGTATAGAAGAAAGAGAAGAGTATTAACCCAGAGACTGTGGACTTAGTAAGAGGGATTGCGAGATTAACAAGGAGGCATGGGTCAAAAATCCCTTTTGAGGAGAACAAAATTTCCGGGGTGTAAGGAGCCCCAGACGGCTTAACCACTCACCGACAACCTGCCAGAAACCCCCGAAGAAATCGCGAAGAGAAAAGAAACGAAAGGGGGAAATGCTTAGTAAATAGAGGATTAGTGTTCAAGTGAAGAACAGAGGAGGAGAAAAAATTGTAGTAATTACTTCGCTTACTTAAAAGCAGCAATTAGGAACACAGAGCAACTCAGGGACTCGGGAAATGAGAGTGCAATAAGGCAACTAAGGTAAATGTTTCCAGGACTCCAGGAGATGCCAGCGTATCTCAAGCAAATCCAAGATTAGAGGATATCAACTCAGGAAAACGTGGGAGTACGCATGTCCAAGGGTACAAAGAAACACCAATCCTCTGGATGAGATTAATTGTAGGAAAATGGGAAGGAATTAAGGGATGAGGAATTAGGGATTCCGGAGAGTAGAAGTTTTACAGAACCTGCGTTAAAAACCTGATCCGAAGGGTTATAGTAGAGTAAGCGGAGTCTCTATAAGAATAGGGCAAGGAGAAAGGAAGTTTCTGTAGTCTCCAAAGAGAGTATGGGAGCAATTTAAGCAACTCTAAGGGAAAATCAGGGGCAAGGAAGGATTCCCAAGGAAGTATCTTGTATAATCATCTGGAGCCAAATACGTAATAGAGAGGAATGATTATGATTCTATGTCCGCTGGAATAATTTCTCAGTCCTAAAAAAATGTAAATTCCTCCGGAAGTCTAAAATGCAAAGTGCGGCATATATTTAACTGAAAGTTCCTCTTTTCAGGAGTGGTTTGAGGCATAACTTCCCCTGAGGCACATGAACCCAAGTGACGAGTAACAAGTCACCAGAGATAAGAGTAAGCGAGATCATAATAACAAACAAGGTTGAAGCAAAAAGCAGCAAATTAGGGACATTCCCTTCTCCTTAGAAACATATTTCTCTCCTCTGTCTCCCCCGCGCAGAGAAAAAAGTCAGAGACCCTCCAGATAAGGGAAAAGTAAGTATTCCATGAGTCCCGAAGCGTTATTACTCCCCAAGAGAGAGCCAAGGTATTTATCCCCGAGGGATGACGACTTAAAATCTTCGTGACAATTAGGGGAAACAAGACAGGGGAACGAGGAAACCTCAGGGAAAAAACCAGGGAAGAAAAACC